TCCATCCCTTATCTATAAGCAAATCCATAAAGCATCAAGTTTTCAATCCTGGTGACAGCAAAAAGTCCATAAAGGGTTGCCAGAATTTTGGGGGGAAAAAAAATCTTATTTTAACCTTGATCAAATAAACCAACTTTATATTCCTTCCTTTTATTTCTAACAGTCTTAATCTTTAATCCATTCAAATACTGTTGTAGGATTTGATTTCTCTTCAGTTCTTTATCCCATTTGCAAACTTGTCATTCTGAAGGTCTCTCATAGCTTTAAGACAGTTAATAGGCAATTTCTGAGAGTGATTAGAAACCGAGACTTGCAAACTTAGTATCCTTTAAAAGACTCCACTGCAGTTGCAAGCAAGATGGCTGATCCCTTTGTCTCCCAGTGCTCAAACCTGCAGAAGACCACTGTCCTGCAGTCTCCTCATGAGGAGTAGCTATCCAGAGTACATGTGGACAATCTCCCATCCTCTTCTTGTCCAGAGAGGTTCAGAAGAACTGGTCTACTCACTGGTTCTTTGGTCTTTGCCACAGTCATCAGCTCTGCTTTTGTGGAGATGCCTTCAGTTTGCCATGCCTCCCCCTGGAAGTCAAGCTTAAAAGTGGTCCAGAATTGTCATGGCAGCTGTTTCAAATGCAAAACAGCTCTTTCACACTCAAAACAAAGTGTTTTAGGCTACAGTCATTTTGAATTCAAAACATTTTGCACAATCCTACTGGCTTCATTCATCACGATGAGCCACAATTCAAGAGCGGCACAATTAAGCCAAAAGCAAAAAACAAACAACCCTGCATTATGGCTTAATTTTAATGTGTAAATCCAGACATTGAACAAAGGAAGCACAAATTATCCAAGCCATTACTTCCAGTCAAATCAGACAGCCTCTTTCTGAGTCATAGCAGGTTCTTTTCAAAGGCATAACATCAGATCCAAATTATTAGTTCTGAAGCCATTGTCAGTAGGCATTAAAAATAAAAAATAAAAATATGAAGCAGCCCTAGATCATAAAACATTTATTTTTCCTGTTTTTATATATGAGGAAAAAAAGCAAGCAAAATGAAATATGCGTGTTTTCAGATCACTGTGTTAGGTTAGTTCTTATTTATTGGCTACATTGTTTTGTAAATGTCTATGCTGAATGCTGGTCAATGGTTATAATAATGATGATAATGTTAATGATGATGTTGATGATGATGATAACACCCACTCCAAATAGGTTTTGGCAGTTTACAAAAGTGTAAGCATTAAGACTGCACAGTCAGCTACATTAAAGATTTTAATATATCTTGGTAAACATGCATGTTTTAGCCCTCTCCTAAACTGTCATAGGGAAGGGGCAAAGCTCAACTCCAGTGGCAACTTGTCCCACTACATAAACCCACCAATACTAGTTATTGTAATTGAACAATGTTCCTCTGAAATAGATGACTTTTAAAATTAACAATTGCAGGAGACAGGTGTTTTAACTACCAGGTAGGGAAAAAGAGAGAAAAAGGTATTCTGTGACTCTAGTTTGTTCTTCAGTATCTGGTGCGGACAAGGAGAAAGAATCAGGAGGAAAAAATAATCAAATTTTATATTCTAGTTGGAAATCTCTTTTGGCTCAATGGCTGTAATCACTAATTTGGTATATTGTTCTTTCATCTACTCAGACCCTATCATGCGGGTATTCTTTAACTACTGGAGACATATCAGCATAATAATTGTAATTATTTCCTTATCTCTATGCATAAAAGTTTAGTTCCGGGTAAGTATACAGGAGGAATCATCATTTTTGCATTTATCCCAAAATTAGGAAAGGAATAACTTAATACTTGGTTTGTTGAACCTTTGTTCCCCCCCCCCCCAACACACACACAAGGCAACCTTGGCTGCTGCTTAAAAGAAAGATTATTTATTGTAATGATCAAGAGAGAGAATGCTGCATTTGACACCCTTTTGTGAATTGCAAGAATGCAAATATTTAGGCTGATTCACTTCTAGCCATCCTAGCATTCGATAGGAACATATTTGGATTTCTATAGCTGCTGGGGAAACACCTTTGTCTAGGAGCCCTTCAAGGCAGCCAGTGCTATCCCCTCTAATTTAAATAAAAATTCATGTGGCAGCAACCCTTTGCTAGCTGCATTCAAAGTTATATTTGGAATACACTTTTGTACCATTCTGGATTCTTGGAGGACCCAAGTATTTAGGCTGGTTTACTTGATTAAATTCCCATCTAGTTGCCACTTGCAGGGTTAGCCTGCCTGCCTGCCTGCCTGCCTGCCTGCCTGCCTGCCTGCCTGCCTTCCTCCTTCCTCCCTCCCTGCCTTCTTCCCCTTCCCTCCTCTCTATCCTCCCTCCCTCCCTCCCTTCTTCCCCTTCTCTCCTTCCTTCCTTCCTTCCTTCCTTCCTTCCTTCCTTCCTTCCTTCCTTTCCTTCTCCCCTTCCTTCCTTCCTTTCCTTCTCCCCTTCCTTCCTTCCTTCCTTCCTTCCTTCCTTCCTTCCTTCCTTCCTTCCTTCCTCCCCTCCCTCCCTCCCTTCCTTCCTTCCTTCCTTCCTTCCTCCCCTCCCTCCCTCCCTTCCTTCCTTCCTTCCTTCCTTCCTCCCCTCCCTCCCTCCCTTCCTTCCTTCCTTCCTTCCTTCCTCCCCTCCCTCCCTCCCTTCCTTCCTTCCTTCCTTCCTTCCTCCCCTCCCTCCCTCCCTTCCTTCCTTCCTTCCTTCCTTCCTCCCCTCCCTCCCTCCCTTCCTTCCTTCCTTCCTTCCTTCCTCCCCTCCCTCCCTCCCTTCCTTCCTTCCTTCCTTCCTTCCTCCCCTCCCTCCCTCCCTTCCTTCCTTCCTTCCTTCCTTCCTCCCCTCCCTCCCTCCCTTCCTTCCTTCCTTCCTTCCTTCCTCCCCTCCCTCCCTCCCTTCCTTCCTTCCTTCCTTCCTTCCTCCCCTCCCTCCCTCCCTTCCTTCCTTCCTTCCTTCCTTCCTCCCCTCCCTCCCTCCCTTCCTTCCTTCCTTCCTTCCTTCCTCCCCTCCCTCCCTCCCTTCCTTCCTTCCTTCCTTCCTTCCTTCCTTCCTTCCTTCCTTCCTTCCTCCGCCCCCCCAAAACAACATATAACTTTAGTTTTGACAGCTAACACCTAGTTCTTCTGCTTAGTTAGTACAAATGTTCTTCTCATACCAGTGGGACTACAGAATTGATGGCTGCAACATTTGTATAGTAAAGTGTGTAAAGGTCTTTTGGAGAACACGAGGGAATCGTAAGCGTATTCAGTGACATATTGAACCAGAGAGTTAATGGAAAAGGGAAGGTGCTAAAGTGTACCTGTTTCATTCCTTTCTGTGTGGGGATTGCTTCCGAGAGAGGCCCCTGGGCTTACACTTGACTCTAAAGTAAGTATTTTCGTAGAGCAAATGGATGAGCAGCAATAGGCATCTGCTGATCGAAGATAATTCAGGTTTCTTCCAAAATTTCTGGGAGACATGTCAGAAATAGATTTAAAATTTATGGACGTTGCAATAGCTCCCACAAGGGAGGAGGAACAGGAGAGTAATATTTTTTAGCAGGATGGTGCAAAATTAGCCTTTGATGCAAGGTCATTCAATTTGCCCCAAAGCCTGCTTGCTCTTCTACTAAAATATGGTCACTGTTTACCCACTCACATCGCTTTCACTAGATTGTTGAGCCTATAAGTTATTAATTATGACAAGGAGACTGATTGGTCTGTAACTGGCTACATCAAATTTCAAAGCTTTCTTCCCCTTTCTCCAAGCTGACATTCCCCTCACTTCTCAGAATGTGAGAAGCAACTTTCTACCAGATTGTACTGTGGTTATCTTTTCATTTAACATTATGGCAAAATAATAGTTTGTGGAGCAAGTCAGAAGCAAGTGCATTCTTGACATTTTCTCTGGATTTCTTCAGCCAATTCTCAGAAGAAAAAGATGAAGAATAAAAACAAACTAGGAGTAATCCAGGATTCTGGCTTCAGACATAAGGATAAACTACGTTTAAAACAAAGCAGGAATAAACATTGGTTTCCAATCATGGTTTGTTAGTGAAAAATAAACTGTGTTTTCTTTTGTGAACTGCCATATTGCAGCAAGCCAAACAAATCAGCCACCTTAGGGTGTAACGCTTTGTGCAAACCAAGCTTCTGTGTCTCTTGAAGCTAAGACTCATCTCTGATTAGCAGTGGCTGTTTCCTCACCATTTGCTCAAGGACCTTTTTACTAAATTAAACTAGGAATATACTTGCAAGGTATACTGTCAGGAGCTCACCTTGAGCAGTAGCTTGGGCTCAAGTTCTACTGG